TAAATTGCGTAAAAATTTTTCAAGTATCGCGGAATTTTGAAAAATTTGAGCAGAGCTTCCCCTAGGCCTAAGCCCTGAAAGCTTTTTGGTCTTTTGATTTATAAAAACCCCCGAATAATTTTAATTATCCGGTTCTACTCTTTCTTAAATGACTCGAAATTATCCCGTTTCAAATTGAGATTTGACGTTAAATTGCGTAATGAATTTATTTCTCGCGAATATCTCGTTCTTTTAGTTTCAGTGTTTAAGTACGTAGATTTTCCCTCAAACTCTCTTTCGAGATTGAGCGAATTCCCTGTGACCTCTTCTCTCTCTCGTTAATACGATGAGTCCTTCGTAAGTCCTTCTGTGCTTTCGCAGATACGACTAAGGACACCCTGATACTGGCACAGGTAATTTAGTTTTTGAATTTTATTCACTGAAAGAACTTCATGGATTAAACAATACACATATAATAAAATTATTTCTATGCGTACATGCAATGTGACGCTCTCATGCAACGTATGACTTTATCTTTTCGCGCTTTTTGTAAAAAATACTAGCGTTACTTTGACAATAAACTTTCCTTTCGCTTCGTCTGACTCGAATTAGAATTTGCAAAAAGATTACAATCTTCCAACTCTAAACGCCTCGTACAATCCAAAAAGAATTCTGACGAGAATTATCGTTATTGTCAAAACGAGCCAAATTATGACGTCACCATGCACAGATATTAGTAAAGCGTATACTACAAAGCGTAAGAGTCTCATCCAATCAACTCCTAACTACTTCTTTACTGATTAACGGGTTTTCGAGAAATCGATTTCTCTGTGAATTTTCTAAGTTCTTATGCTAAAAAAAAAATTTGCGCAGGGGTTCCCTTAGGCCTAAGCCGTTTTTACTTTTTTCTAAGCAATTTTTACACGACTTAGTCACTCCCGCACTTAACTTTCACTCGGAATTAATAAATTTCTGAAAATCAATGTCGCGATTAATTATCAAGGCAATCGTGATGAGTAGTCACTCGCAATGCGTTTCACGGCAACTATTCAATCACATTTATTTTTAGTGCACTCGCGTTTCTTCAATCTTTCGCGTTTCGCGTTTCGAAATTTAAAATTTCGCTTCAATGTTTGCTCATTTGGCAAAATATTTAATAACTCTATTGAATTTCCATGAGTCTAAATGTATTTTCAGTGTCGCGCATTTACTTTAACTTGTTTCTATGAAACTTTACTTTAACTTTGCACTTTGGCAATTTTTTCTTTTAATTTTGCACTTTGGCAATTCTTTACTTTAATTATGCACTTTGGCAATTGAATATTTTCACTTTGTGAATTTAATTTGTTTCGTTTCCCGCAATCACTTTCGATTCGGTGAATTTACTTTTACTTTCGTTTTCCGTAATCACTTTCGATTCGGTGAATTTATCTTTACTTTAATTTCGCGCACTGAGTTTAATTGGATTGTCTCGCTTTGAGACAATCTTAATCCCTTAGACTCTGTTAATTAACATGAGTAGTAATACTAGGCCGCTTCTAAATCCTATCCAAATGGTGGCGAGGGGGTTGCGGGGCGAGGGGGGTCCCTGCGGGGAGGGGGCTGACGTCACAGGGGGCTGACGTCACAGGGGACTGACGTCACGGGGGCTGACGTCAGGGGGGGGTCTGACGTCACAGGGGTCCCTGCGTGGAGGGGCTGACGTCACAGGGAAAGGGTTAATTAATTCTTACTTTTAATTAATTATGTAGTTTTTAAATTAATTATACAATTAAATATTATTAATTAAATATTATTTTATTATATAGTTAAATTAAATATTTTATTGCTCAATTTTTTATTTACTG